AACTTATAAATAGACACCTAAATGGTCGCTGATTGCTGACAGTGATGCTCACACTTTTCACTTTTCCACTTTCCCACACACAATCACACAGGTCTATGACTACATTGTGGTGGGCGCCGGCTCTGCGGGCTGTGTCATTGCCAATCGCCTGTCGGAGAACCCGCGGGTGAAGGTGCTGCTTCTGGAGGCGGGCGGCTCGGAAAGCGCCGTCACCGACGTGCCGCAGGGCATCTTCCTCATCCAGCAGACGCCCATCGACTGGCAGTACCGGACGGTGCCGCAGAAGCGGTCCTGCTTTGGCATTGAAGGTCGCAGTCTGAACTGGCCCCGCGGCAAGGTTCTGGGCGGCTCCAGCACGCTCAACTACATGCTGTACATTCGGGGCAATCGACAGGACTACAACAACTGGGAGCGCAGCGGCGCCGCCGGCTGGAGCTACGAGGACGTCCTGCCGTACTTCATCAAGGCGGAGGACAATCGCGACCCGGATGTCGCCTTCAACGGATACCACGGACGCGGCGGCCCACTTACCGTTCAGCGGTCCACCTGGGTGGGCAAACTGGCGTACGCCTTTCTCGAGGCCGGGCAGCTTTTTGGTGAGTCTTTTTTTGTGAGCTTTGAATGATTCATTTTCTAACTCTTTTTCTCTCCACACACACACAGGCTACCCGGTGCTGGACGCCAATGGGCCCGACCAGAACGGCTTTCTCATTCCGCAGTCGACCATTCGCCGCGGTGGCCGGTGCTCCACCGCCAAGGCCTACCTCTACAGCGTCCGCGACCGAAGCAACCTCCACGTGGTCACCTTTGCGCACGTCACCAAGGTGCTCTTCAATCAGTACCGCGAGGCGATTGGCGTCGTTTTTGACCGCTTCGGCAGCCGCCACAAGGTCTTTGCCCGCAAGGAGGTCATCCTCTCGGCGGGCAGCATCAACTCGCCGCAGCTGTTGATGCTCAGTGGTGAGTGGATCGAGGGTTTTTTAGTTTGATCATTTTGCAGGTCTGTTTACATTCTAATTTTTTTTCTCTAGGCATCGGGCCTCGAGCTGACCTGAATCGCATCGGCGTGCCGGTCATTGCCGACCTGCCCGTAGGCAAGAACCTCCAGGACCACATCTTCCCCTACGGACTGAACTTCGTGGCGACGGCTAAGCGACCGAAGGGCGAGTTCTGGACGCACATTGAGGCACGGGTGCACACTCTGCCCAATCTCATCTCCAACATTGCCATGGGCCGGGGGCCGATCTCCAGCAACGGCGGCCTCGACGCGATGGGCTTTGTGCGCACCTCCTACGCCAATCGGACGCTGCCCGATCTGCCCGACTACCAGATTAACTTTCTCTCCGGCTGTCTCTCTTCAGGTGAGTTGTTTGGGATGATTAAGTTATCAATTAGATGCTGACCCCATGTACTTGCTCCTTTCCACAGATGACGGCTGGCGCTTCCCCAAGGTAGTCGGCCTGACGGAGGAGATGTGGCAGAAGGTCTTCAAGCCCTTTGTGCGCACCGAGTGCTACACCGTCCTGCCGGTGCTGCTGAAGCCTCGCAGCAGCGGCTACCTGACGCTGCGCAGTCGCAATCCCTACGACAAGCCGCTCATTGACCCCAACTACTTTGCCCACCCCGACGACCTGGAGTCGATGGCCGAGGCGATGACGCTTTCCTATATGCTCGCCACGGCGGCGCCCTTTCGACAGCGCTACAAAGCGGTGCCCAGCAAACTGGTGGTGCCCGGCTGTGAGCGACACGCCCTCTACAGCCACGAGTACATGAAGTGCATGGCGCAGACGCTGACTGCCACCATCTACCACCCAGTGGGCACCTGCAAGATGGGCCGAGCGGACGACCCCACCACCGTCGTCGATTCGGAGCTGCGGGTGAAGGGCGTCCGCCGACTGCGCGTCGCCGACGGCTCCATCATGCCGGAAATTGTCAGCGGCAACACCAACGCCCCCATCATCATGATAGGTGAGAAGGCGGCAGATATGATCAAGGGCATCCGGCGCAGTAGCAAGATTCACCTCAACCAGTACATTAACCTCTACTCCAACTCGGTCTACTGATCAGGTCAGTTCTTCTCTGTGTCACTGTTGTCCAATGCTGTTGTCTGCTGTTGTTGTTGTTTTTGATGAAACTGATGCTTCCAAACATCATCATCATCATGATGTACATGCCTCTCCCATCTCATCTTATCTCATCTCTTTTCATCTGCACATAGTCATTTCTTCCCTGCGCACTCACTTTGCCAAATGCTGAAACAGTTTTTTTTGTGTACAGAACCCACACCAACTCGAGCTTCTTTTGTGTACAAAGTAATTTAAAATGTAAATTGAATAATAAACAAAACTAAACGAAAGTATTCAAAAATGCTAGGGTTGAGGGAAAAAACCTGGAGCTAAAACTAGTGAAACGTTTTATGCAGCGCTGAACCGGAAAAGATTTTTATTAACAGCCAAGTTATTGTAGGTTTGGACGGTCTTTCCCAGTGGTCATAGATATTGTGAACGGTTGGAGCTAGAGGGTTGAGAGTCAAAGCGTTTACTAAGCTAATTTACGTTTGGAATCGTTTGGTCCTAGCATGTCCCTTTGCGGAGATATTGTCTGACCCCACTTTTTTAGTTTCGGACACTTATCCTCTTTCGGAAAGATGTTCAAACGCCTGGACAGCTCGCCGAACAGATACTTGAGCGAATTTTTAAGTGTTTTCCGAGCAGAGCTAGCCGCTTTTTTGAGTGATACCCTTTTAGACGTTTGTGGTGGTATTGTTCTATTGACGTGTTTTAGAACATATTAAACCCTTACCCCTGCATATAAGCAGAGGTTTAAAAAAATTAAAAATACGTTTCATTTGCTCATCAACTTCATTCAGCTCAAGTTAGTAAAAAGTTTGTGAAAAAAAATGCGTCATCAATTCGCAGTTTTATTCGTGATTGTCGCTACCGTTCCCATCTTTACCGTATCATCTAAGGCCAGCTTCAATGGCTCGTTGCAAATTGCCCGTGCCAATGATTACTTTGGCTACAAACTTCTAGAACACCTTGAGGAAAGAAACTTCTTCGAAGAAGATGCTGAACCAGAAAATCTGTTCATCTCTCCCTTCAGCGTTAGCACCGTCCTGACCATGGTCATGGCCGGTGCTAAAGGAGACACCTTTGAGGAGATAAAAAATACTCTTGGGTAAATAGTGAAAACAAATAATTAAACAGTTTTGCTACAACACTTATCACACAACCTTTAGAGTTCAACTCAAGCTGACTGAACCGCAACGCTACACCGCCTTCAACACCCTCCTTCGCCAGCTTAACAATCTGTCCAGCAGTGACACTGTCAACAGCCTCAAACTGGCCAATGCAATTGCCCTGCAGACCGGAGAGACTCCTCTTCTGCCCAGATATCAGCGCATCGTCAAGCGCCGCCTCAAGGCGAAGATCTTCCAGGTTAACTTTGAAAAGGAGCCGGAGCAGGCAGCTGAGCAGATCAATCAGTGGGCCAGCCGAAAGACCAAAGGCAAAATACGCAAACTGGTTGAGGGAACACTAGACCCGGGCACGCGAGTCGTCCTACTCAATGCACTGTACTTTAACGGCACCTGGGCGAGCCCTTTCCGGCGAGACGATACTGAAAACGAAGAGTTTACCTACGGTGAGGTTGGACGGAGGAAGAAGATCACCGTTCCAATGATGAAGAAGTCCTTTCATCGACTCAACTACCTCAGCTCGGAAGAGGGTGAACTGGTGGAGCTGCCCTACCGAGGTCACCTGCTGAGCATGTTGCTCTTTCTGCCTGCAGTTGACGACCCTCCGCCTATCAGTTTTACTTTTTTAGATTTTCGCAAGCGACACAACGGGTACTCTAAAATGACGGCTCGAAAGGTGACCCTGTCTCTGCCTCGCTTTAAGATCGAGTCCTCGCTTGAGCTGAAGCCCACACTTCGGTGGATGGGCATTGAAACGGCATTCGAGGATGCCGCCGACTTTAGTCGAATGACTGGCAATGGTGGCGATGGTGGTGAACGCTTAAAGTTGTCCCGAGTTCTGCACAAGGCCGTGGTGGAGGTCAATGAGGAAGGCTCTGAGGCGGCGGCGGCTACTATGAGCCAAGCGGTTTTTCGCTCTTGGGATCCTCGCAAGCCCATTAAACTGAACTTCAATCGGCCATTTCTCTTTGCCATCCGCTGCAAACCGCTCCAGTTGACGCTCTTCGCCGGCATTGTCAATAAGCCACAAGAAGTTGATTAATGTTTTGAATGAACTGAACTGTTATTCTGTGGTTGTACGGTGCTGTTTTGTTTTGTTTACCATCCATTTTCGCTTATTCAGTCGATCTGATTAAAATTTTGTTTACTGCCGCTGTTATAATTTTTAGAAAAATTGTAACTGCAGTCCATCGCCTATAGCTGCAGACTACAGTAAACTCGTTTCACTTCCTTTTCTACCCCTCAGCACATTACTCATTTGCATTCACCCATGGCGCAAGACTCTGCCGGTTTTGTACGCTTTGAGTCTGCCTCTCACGTAAACTGCACCACTTCTGCTGTGCTAAGCCCGTACCGCTGCTGCGGCTGTTAAAAGTAGA